GCTCGGACTACTTCCCTCACATGTGGCGTGCCAGCACGTTAGCAGCAGGACAGAATTAGATATGGTTGTCAACTGCTGGCACATCTAAGAAACTCAGCATGAAACCCCACCGTTTGTTGATGATGGAGCCCCGAGCCCCAAATTCTCCACGTTATAGCAACGCAAAGTGGAAGAGAGCGGCATAAAGAAAACCTAAGGACATCAGCGTCGATTCCTCCATTACAGTCTTTTTCAGTGTATTTCTAAAATAAGTAGACTGGACACCAGGATTAGTGCCAAAGATAGTTTAATTGGATAGGAACTGATGTGGTTTTGCATCGTTTTGCCATAAAAGAAGCTGAAGTCTCACCGTTCAAGAAGATGTTATTTCAAACGGCTGTATAATCAATGCCTGAATTTTGATTACCCAGCAGTGGACCCAAATCATAAGTCACAGCTTCCCCACGCACATCTACAAAAGACGTGCTGAAAGTAAGGAGGATGCACGTTGCTATGGCAAATGAGGGGGTCTTCAGACCATGCTGCATACAAGTCTTCCAAAGTAAAGGCCTACAACATCTCAAAGCCTGTCTTATATTCAGGCGACCTTATTACCTCTGTTGAGTAAGTAAAATCTTAATTTCCAGTGCCATCATACTTGAAATTCACAGGGTTTAAAACTAGTCACTATTCATTTTGGAACATGGCATATGCAGGTGCTCAGACTGCAAACTCCTGCATTGCACTTGTTGGTGAACAGCCCACGGTCAACAGTCAAGCTGAATGGATATAATACGGGAGCACTTGTTGATCACGCTGAAGTGCCATCAGTAGTCCATAATCTAGCGTAATTTATGGTTCTGTTCTCTGTTGTGTGGGAAATGAAATCCTGGACTCGAGTCACAAAGTCTAAATTTGTTTTACAAGCAGTGAACTTAAATTACTACCAACTTCACTCTCAGGTCCTGCTGTCCCATGGCATTCCTGAGTCACATTGATCACAGGCATTCTGACACAGTGGACCCCGTGGACCACACGACTCTGGGAAACTATGCATTGCACCGGCAATATTTAGTCTTGAACTCAAACACAGAATAACAAATGGATCTTGTTTCTCGTCTACCAGAAAAGGAGATTTTTAGATGCAGTAAGACATAACTCTCCCGACGACATGCTCTTTGGTGCGCAGCTGCTTTTGGCATTTTAGAGCCCAGAGGACAAGAGGAATTAAGTCCACAAAAAAGTATTGTGAAGAGCACGGGAATGCATGTATTGTATTTGAAATATTTTGTATTCGTCTCCTCGATTATGCATTTCCTGCATATTCATACCAAGACCTTCCTAAAGCTGTGGCTAAGCCTGTCTCCCCATGCTTCCCCTCCTCTCCCCCAGCACCCAAACCCCTACTGACTTCTGTCTGCAGCTCCACCGTGCTCTGTAAAATGAACAGTCATCCTAATCCCAAACCACAGTCGTCAAGGCAAGCAAAGGAACTGGAAGGAGAGCGGTGTGGGTTCCCAAGGAGGGTGCCCGAAGGACACGGGAGCAGTGCTGAGCTACGAGAGGAAAAGCAGCATGGGAACGCGGGGAGGCCTCCTGCACCTTTCGGTAAGCGGTAAGATGTGCACGTATGCCATTTCAGTGGAATTACGGACCCCTAATACTTAAGCACAACAACCGCGAGAAGCACTTTTCGCCACATGTAAGTGGGCAAAGACACTATGGCTTTTATTCCCTGCTGTAACGCTTCCCTAAAATATAATAAAGGAAAGTACCTGGTAAGCTCTTCATCTGAGTAAAACCGTATGTACAAGAACTGCACCTTGTTATACATTGGTTTTCTCCCTTCACTAAGCAGGCTGAGGCTCTCCCCCTCATTTTCTTAATAAAATAATTTCACACAGCTGCTAAACTAACATCCAACTAGTAAGACACATTCTCTATGACAAAGCAATACAAAAAGTGAGAAAAAAAAGGGAGAAGACTTCACTGAGAAAATATAATTCTGAGATGTGTCACATCCGCAACAAGAAGTCTTGCAAATAGCAAGTAAAATTTCTGCTTACATTTGTACTTGAAAAGAAACACAATCCCCAATTATGGTCCTGGCTTGTAAGGCTGGCAGAACACAAATGTTTGCAGTATAAATCTTTGCAAATATTTAATGGATCTTGAATCTTAAGGCTTAGTTTTAAGCTTCTTTGAAGCAGTTCAAGAAATAAGACCCAAGTGTTCAAGAGATCCCCGAGACTGAAATAAGAAATGTTTGGTGACACTAATGAGTCCTCAGTTGGAAAAGCAGCAATAATCTTCAGCAGAAAGTTTGAGCCTAACTCTTTGCCATTGTGGCCCTGTCAAAATCCATTTACAGTTAAGTAAAGAGTTCTAAATTAAATGGTCCTGAAATACCGTAGCACTCCTTAAGGTTTTGTGCGTTTGAAATAGTAACAGCCTTCAGTTAAACTATGCAGGTATCCCCCAGTGTCATCTCAGACACACCACTTCCATTATTCAGCTAGGAAACGCTTGCTCCAGAGAGATTCCGGTAAACAAGCAATTCCATTTATCTGTCTAAAATTATTAAAATTATCATTCAGGGCTTACAGAAACTATACTTCAGAAATTGTTTGTACGAGTTCATCGGGTAAAACATTTTGTTGTGTAGAGCACTAAGAGGATGCTGCCTTTAAAGAACATTTTACAAGTTTTAAGTAAGCCCATGACAAGACTCCAGTTGCTGCTGCTCATAAAACTGCAGAATGTCTGTTCTGTCATTCAGAAACACTTGTTTCTCATTCTAAGACTCTGAGATGCAGCATAAGCTTTACTCAGTGTTGGCCGCAATTTATTTCCCCAATCACATCAACTTATGATTTAGCTTTCAGCTGTGTAAATATCAGGCTACCAGCTCCCTAACATCTGGATCTTCAGAGGGGAAAATAAAAAAAAAAAAAAAAGGAAAAGAAAAAAAGAAAATAGAGGCAAGAGAACTTGCAAGCCTTTAAAACAGATGTTCGGTTACATCAGTGGGCTTAAAAAGAACTATTAAGATAGTGTAAGTATCTTGCAATTTACAGATTGCCACTGTATTTAAGCACAAACTAAACATGAAAACTCACACTGGCAGAAAAGGACTTGAGCATTCATTTCCATTTCTGGGTATTTAAGGCAACAAATAAAATTTTAAGTCATTCGTATTTTTAGGATGTTAAATGAAACTTCATGGGAAGCATTTAAAATCCAGTCACTGACCATGCACGTTTATTTGGGTACAGAGATCCATGTCCTTGAAAGATTAGGATCTTTATACTATCCAACAGCAAGTCAAAAGTATTTAAGGGAGAAGATGAAAAAGGAATAAAATGACATTGCCACTGTTCCCAACCTTCCCCCACTACAGAAAATAAATTTAAACTTGTTTTTCATGATGGACCTTTAACATGGAGTCTTAAGGATAAATATTAATTCTAGAGTGAAAGATGTACTTACTGTTTTTAACTTTCGTTGTATTTTAGATATGTCAAAAAGCAGTATCTGATTACAAACACAAGCTGTCATGGCCCCCAGCTCTCCTCCCCCTAAAAAAGCTAGGGTCACTGGGTGGGGGGGGGAGAGTTGAGTGACTCAAATTTAAGATTTTTTGCCTTATTGACTTATAGCTTTGTGCTTAACTCGGGAAAAATTAATCTCTTTCAAAATGCACTTAATTATAATCAAATACCCATATCAATGTCTGTCACCACATCAGCACATCTGGCAGCAATGAAGACAAATTAACAATCAGAGTCAGAAAATCTGGCAATATGATCAACTAAAGCACGCAAAATCCATTCTCTACACTTAGACCACCAGTGACTAAGGATGGATTAACTTCCTGTCTCTAATACTGGTGCCTAAATTAAAGGGAAATTGCATTTGCAATCTGGGTACCAGGTTTCTGGCTACAAACAACAAAAACCCCTTAGCTCAGCTACAGCAGGCAGCGAAACCTTTGCTCTAGCTTTAGCCATGATGTCTGTGATGGCCTACTCCAACAGCTGCTTTTCGTTTAGTTTAAAAGAAGCTATTTGGCAATCATGTAAGTTTGCACCTTCAAAGTAGGCAGATTTAAAAAGCTGATGTCCTGTAATATTAACCATTTTGAGTCTTACTGTTTTAATGCAGTGATGACGACAGGATTCACATTTTTTAAAAATAGTAGGCATCTGTACATAGAAAAACAAAATAGTGTTTTCACTTAGTTTTAATTACCATTTTATAGCAAGCAATCCTCTTTCTCTGACTTCGTATAGTTAAAGGCATTGGGTACACTACCATAAATTTAATCCAGCAAGAATTCACAATTGCTGAACTTGACTGAGCAACTGAATAAAGCACAGATCTCATCTATAACCACAAAAGGGCAGCCGAGTAAGGAACAGAAGCATGAGTTCAACCAAAGAAAACATTATCTTGTACTTGGATTACCTTCTCATGTTGGGCATGGAAGGGCTTGCAGAAGAAAAAAGAGGGAGAAAGGGTATGGGAAAGCAAAGACTGGGGCACGCACTGCATATTTGGCAAACACTTAGCACCAAGCCACTTAGAAAATAGTGACGCTGCCAGGCAGATATCCAGTGCCTTTTTTCTTCTTTTACTAAATAGCTTGATGGGGATTTGTGCATCTCCTGTGCATATCCTCCACCAAATGTATGTACACATACACTGTGTACACAGGCATGGGCAGACTGTTGGCACTACAGCCCTGCGTGCGTGAAGACTGAGAACGTGTGCACACACATCTGATAATGGGAATTCACACAGTGGAAGATTTGCATACTTATTTTGGCACAAATAGCTTCAACCCACCCTACCAGTAGCTGTGGCTGGACCACACCCACTTCTAGAAGCTGAACATGGGATTTAACACAGTAAATCTAAAGATACAAGTTTTAGTCAAAGGTGCAAACATGCAACAGAAAGCACCTACATATGCAACACTATCTACAGACATAATTCACGCTTTTCATTCTTCATACACTAATGTGGGTCAGAGACCACATGGCAGCATATTTTATTAAAAGTAATGTGCAAATAAGATGCATGATACCTGCAAACAGCATGAAGTTTCCATTTGTAAAAAGGTACAAGTAACAGTACAAAATTAGAATGCTTACTACTCATTTCAATAAAATGGAAGTCTGACATAGAAATACATATGCTGTATTATTTACACCGTTAATTTACAAAAGATATTATTTGCATAAAACAAAGCTATAAAATAATTAGAAATATAGTATTTTATAAGGAATGTTTTCCCTGTATAAAACGTAGAGCATTTTGGCAATTATGCTTTATTTGAATAAAAATGCATTTATTTGTTCTGAATTCATAGCATCACATGGTTTCTTTCTTCCCTTCTTCCTTTTCTTATTCCCTTTTTAAATAAAATTCCACACTGAGGTAGTAGTATGTCAAAGTATTTCTTTGGTTCCAGAAATCAATGGTAGGTCCAAAAGGAGCTATGTATCCAAATCACAGGACGGGAAAGTAGAAGTCCTAAAGTTTTCAAAGGACTGTTTGTAAGTATAAATGCTATTTTCTCCTCTAGAAACTGTCCTTTCCTTTCCATCTTCGTCTGCCTCTGCATCAAAGTCCAGCGAGGCATGAGGATTATTACGGGAGGTTTTTGGCTGGCAATTTGCTGGCTGTCTACAACTTGAAAGAGAGTCCAGCTGAGACCTCCATAAAGGCTTTCCAAATGTTCCTGAAAGACAATAACTGAATAAGTACAGAAATACTGATGCTAACACTTTTGTGTCTCACTAAGGGCTGCACATTAGAATGTAAGCCAAGGATCGACACAAGCAGAAGTTCATCAAAGTGAGGTTTTACTTAACTTTTACCCCTTAAAAGAAAACATCCATGTGATCACAAGCATAAGACAAGATTCTGCCACCTGAGACATTAAAAACATTTCCAAAGTAAATGTATGGCCACACACATCTTCATCACTTCTGTTTTCAGGACTACTCCCATGACCATTTTTCTTTGGGGAGGGTGGTGAGGGGGGAGGTGGGCACACAGACCAAACTGCAAACATATGACAAGACACTGTCGAATGCAAAAGTCACAACGGTCTCCCTGTTTTGTTCTTCAGTGAACTAATGGCACATGAAATCTGCCATGCAGTACAGCAAAAATTAAAAAAAGAAAAAACCCAACATGCATAAGGTTACACAACATCCTCCCACTGTGCAGTGTAAATGCTAAAACAACCTTTTTCTGGCTAGCATCTCCCATTAATAATAAAGGTCCCGCCAGCCAAATTCTCTATTCACACCTCTTCATCTCTTTGCCCACAACTAGCTAGAACAGACGTAGCCCAAAGAGCATTTGGCATTTCACTTGAATCTTTATTAATAATTATCTTGGTTCACTAGCCAGAAAATAATTAGTATGCCTGTCACTCTTCACCATTGGGAAGGTGTTAGCATCAACACCTCTGCAAGAAGGGCCTTCTCTTTTTTTCACTGAAGAAAGATACAGCCGTCACAAGTCACAGTGTCTATAAGTGACACGCAAAAGACTCATTTTCAGAGGACAATGTGCCACAGGCTGATTTTGAAGAACTCTGTTTTTATTAATAACACTACAATCATCAACAAATTTTGCACTCAAACAGCCGTACTTCTAGTTTTGCTTAGTTGCTAGAAGCAGAGGTTTCAAGTAAAACTGTAATCTGAGAAGTTACTAAAAATGGATTTGGACAAGGTCCATATTTGCATCAATGATTTGCAGAGCAATTTTGCTCCTAACACAACGTGAAAGGATGTTCCTCACAGCACCAAAGCTACAAAAGAATCCTGTATTAAAAAAAAAAAAAAAAAGAAAAATCCAAGCTGTGAACTTTCTGGCTCACGCATCAACAGTGATGTTAACGCCAGCTGTCGTCTTCATTGTGATTATAGAGGCAAAAGGGGGCTGAATTTGAAGACGATGCTGAAGAAGTGAATCCACCGCTAAAGACAAGAAATCTATCAAGACGTCTTCCACAGCCACCACCTCCAAGATCTAACCATAGGCTCTTTGAGTGAAGAGTGCTAATGATTATGAAGCATCCAACGCAAGGTTGGGTGGTAGCTCAGAGACCTGACAGAAAAAAGTAGCTCTGCATAGATTTTTAGGGCTGAAAGGGGAATATGAGCCCTCAAGGCTGCATTAACTCCTGGGTAGACCCACATACAATAGAACTACTTTCTGCAGGAGACGTGGAAAGCCCTATCTGCACAGTCCCAACACAGCAATAGTGGCAGACAGCCAGGAGGCCGTGTGTAGTCCCAGGGCCTCTGCCAGATGTCATGGCATCTGCAATGTTTTACAGTCCAAACATCTGGCTTTCGAAGGGGGAAAACTTCAGAGCTTGTACCTCCCTCCCCACCCCCTGAGAACAAAGACCCCAGTGTTGCACATTCCCCCAGGTCCCCTCGATCAACCATGCTGACACACCAGCCGGGAGACAACCCACAGTACCAGGGCTGCACTGAGTGCTCAGCTGTCACAGGATGAAAGCAGTATGTGGGTTTATATGCATTTGAAACCAACCAACCAAACCAACACCCAAAATTTAGGGAGCTTCAAAGGTAAAGCAACCCTCTTCTCCTTCCTCCCACCTCTCCCTGCAATCTGCATTAAAATTGTAAACCCTGAATTAAGCTTCAGAACTCTTTTGCCATACACACCATGAGAAAAGAAGACAAAGGAGGGGTAGAGAGGGCATTTTGCCACAGTGCCTTACTTTGAAATAAAATAAAATGGTATTATGAGCACTTAAACGCTACTGCAGAATTACCTATTGTAGGAGTGGGAAAGAAAAAGCTGAGAAATCAGGTTTGCTTAGTGTTGGAAGCAGGAAACGAGACAGCAAGAATACCAGCAGCTTGAATAAATGGTAAATAGTTCTGGCTCACTGTGTTATACAATATGTCCTCATACGCTGGAGTTCAAGTCTCCCCACCTGCCCTGAGCCCTCCTGGGGCCTTGCACACCTTTTGCCTGTCAGGCAAGACTTCTGGTATGCCTGAAGTTTGTTAAGCTGTATTTAAGTAAGTATCCTAACATTTATGGAAATCTGCCAGCTATATTAAGATAAAAGAGAAGTATCACACCACTGATGAGATTTTCATGTAAGTGTGAGCTATTAAGATCTCCTGCTAATCTAAATATGCTTACTATGCAGTTTCACTGCAATCACTTTTCTGTTCCTGAACTTCAAACATTTGGGACTTTGGACCTCATGGTCCTCAGAAGTCAGGTTTCCCGAGAAGCAGAAGAGGGCTCACTGTTACACCCAGAGGTGAACCACCTCACTGGACTACCACGTTTGACCTGAGGACTCCTTTGATGTATGTCAGTTCTGCTTCTGACCAAGCCCCAAGCTGCTCCCTTTGCAACACAGGATAGGGCCCATCTCCTGGCTAACTCACGGTAGGATCCAGAGGGCACCCTAAGTTCTGGGGCATCCAACTGTCCTCATGCACTGCAGTGGAGAGAGAGTGAGCCTACATGCACAGTTCAGTTGTGTGAGCCTTAAAAAATAGATACTGCAGTACTACAGGTTACTCAGGGAGGAAGAAAACAAGACAAGAACACATGCAAAACAACAAGGACAACTCTCAAACTGTCTTTCCTCAGCTACTTCCTGTCTCTCCTCTCCTTCTTTCTAAAGTATTTATATTCCACACGCTGTATTATCTTACTAAATTCACGGACACACGCAAAAAGAAGACCATGCAAAATTGCACGGAATTAGTTTTTCCACAACGCTAGCTATATAAGCACTTAAAACACTACTACAGAACTACCTACTGTAGGAGTGGGAAAGAAAAAGCTGAGAAATCAGGTTTGCTTAGTGTTGGAAGCAGGAAACGAGACAGCAAGAATACCAGCAGCTTGAATAAAAACCAATAGCTAGAACATACCCATGAAAGTGCTGTTACTGATAATAGATGAGGGTTCCAAACTTCTGTTTAAATCAAACGTGTCGGAGTTCAGACTTTTTCTTTTTAGTCCAGTTCCTTCATTTTGAGTATAAGCGGAGTTAATCAATTTGCTACCTGTAGCCTGCATCCCAATAATGCCAACACACTGGTCAAAGGGATCTTCCAGTGGAGGTGAGTATTGATAGCATTCCTTTTTCTTTAAATATCCAGATTCATAAGGGTCCAGGCATGCTGTTCTTTGATCAGGGCTGCAACCTAAAGAAAATGAAAAATTGTTTTTATATAGATTCATCATAGCACAAGATCAGATTAGGCCTGAAACGTTCACCCCCTCAACTTACTTGTAGTGTATGCTTCAAAGGCCTCAGAGCCATATGTGTTTCCTTTTAAATACAAAGTCCCTGAAGTCCCCAGATAGTGGCAGAGGAACGGATCTGCAACACCCTCCAAGTCTGCTTCACTGCCGTTATCTAGATGGCAAATGCCTTAAAAATAAAACTGACGTGTCAGCATATGGTCTTTTCTTAAGCTTCAGCTTACAGTTTCTTGAGTAAGTTAAGAACCCTGTCTGTTCAACTGAATTTCATAGAGTATTTGGAGCTTGCTTAAGTTTAACCTAACCTTTTGATGAGAATTCTAACTCTAGCAAGTGTTCAATTAATTAGCTTGACAGAGTCTTCATTATACAGTCCCCGGATAACAGAACAAACCCAACCACAGGGTTCAGAACCAGGGACTGCCTTCCTCTAAAGCACTGGAAGCCAGGCTCATGCTCTGTCACACAGCCCCCTTTTGGAGCACAGAGTGCTAACAAGAAAGTCCCAGGTGGAAGAATCTGAGGGAAGTCACTGGCTGCTCTAACAGCTATACTGACTTTCAGCTCAATGGTTCCTGAAAGCTGTGGACATGGTCTGTGGTTCTTGCTCCACAAAAAAGCTGCTCCTCTCACTACCCTACAAATGCAGAATTATCTCACCACTGCTCCATTCCCACCTGCCCCCACTCCTGCCTATATCTCGACCCCAACCCCTTCCCAACAAGGCGCCTTTTCCTCCCTAACCCAGGTATGTTCTGGATTCTCAGGCGCCAGTATTGAGTACTGCAGCTTTTAACTTGCTGTCACCTTAAATCCTTTATTGACTCTGACCCTAATGACTTTTCTAACAGGAAAGTTTAATCAGTTATATTATACTAAAGTTACACTGGTATTACCACCCATGCCTACACTCCATTAAAAGCATCCTTTTCAAGCTATAACAGAGGAAGACATGCTGTTGTAATTCCTTTTGGACGCTCTTGTTTTGGAAATGTGATCATCGGTTTAAATTTACCCTTGAAACTAGAGAAACACTTCATGATTTAAGCGAGGCCATAACGTCATTTGGATGAACAGAACCAAGTTTCTGTTATTATCTCACTGAAGCAATCCCAAGCAATATATTTCACATCCTCTCTTAAACTTCAATGAAGATGTTTCTTTAGTGTTATTTCTATTAGTTAGAAAGACAATAGCCAAAATGCAGCTACTCAAGCAACATGGAAAATCTGCTTAACATTTTACACCTACCATTACTGTCCCTCTGCTGCAAGAAATACCCTCCCACAGAAGATGTGAGGAACTGATGATGACTGCCGTTTTCAGATGAACCATATCCATCCTGCCTTTCAGCCAGTGTCCCCTGGGATGACAGGTAACTTGGAATGTCAGCAGGCAAATTTGTTTCATCTGTGGGGAAGCAAAACACACAAAAAGCCATCAGCATACTTCAGAGTGCGTAGAAGTGTTTTTAAACCTGTCAGCAAAGTGCTGAAGGTAACAAGTAATTCACTCTTCTGACTGTGACTCAAAGCACACAAATGTTCCTACAATGAAGTCATTGCAAAGCAACCACAAGCATTTTTCTTCCTTTCCAAGGGAAACCTTCAGTTTACACACCTGTATTTGTGATGCTGCAATCTTCATTTCTCCTTCTGGTGTGGTAGATGATGACCACCCACACCAAGGAAGTGCCCACCACACAGCAAACCACAGCTATGATCACAATGCCAACTGTGGCCCATCCATCATCATCAAGTGATGGGGCAATGTTTTGAGGAGAATCACAGGTGGGAGTAGGAATTACATTAAGGCGGATGTTGCCTCGCTCCGTTCCAAGTGTATTAGACATTTCACAAGTGTACTTCCCAGCATCTTCTACATCTGTATCCACAATAATTAGTAACTGATTGCCTGCAGCAAAGAAATGTCTTTCCGTTACCACGAGAGGGCTGTCATCCTTAGTCCAGTTCAGCCGGGGCGGAGGGCTACCACCAGCAATACACTGCAAGACTGCAGTTTCACCTTTTGTTACAGTTCGATCCAGCAAAGGCCGCAAAAATGATGGTGTTTCTAAAAAGAAAGCATAAGCCTTATATTCTAAATGACCTTGCAAGAATGGGAACATGCCCCTTTCCTTCACAGCTCAAAAGGAAAAGCTAAATTAAATGCATCAGTAAGGTCTAATGAAGCTTACTCTCATTCTCAGAAAAAACACACTCCAGGAATTTGAACTTAGAGCCTACAGTTTACTTGTCAATTGATCAGACCTAGACACTTGATTACCTTGGAAGGTAAAAAGGCCAAATCATACAGGCTCAAGATTACAAAGAACTACATTAAAAATGGTTAACAAAACATCAGGAAATTAGAAGTTAAACAAAATCTCCTGTCTCTAAACAAAAATAACAGCCCGCCCCACAACCCTCCCTTATATCAGACACTGTGTACACACTGAGAAACATAACTAACTTTTATTATTTTGCACCATAATAGTGACTGTGAGCTGGAGTACATATTTCTAATCTACAACTGTGTGTCAATACAAATTATTTCAGAATATTCTTAGTTCTGTACAGCACTTTCATAACATTGCTATTTTTAATCAGCTGACAATTTAAAAGTGCTCAGCAATAGTTTTGGTCTTCAAGGAGATTATGCCATTAAGGATTCCCAATGTATTACCTAGTACTGTTAACGTTGCGTTAGCTGAAATGCTTCCAGCAGTGTTTTGAGCTGTACAGCTATAAACGCCTGTATCCTCGATCTTTACGTCAACAATAAAGAATACGTCATCTTCAGGCATGACATGCATGCGTCTCTTGCGCGCTGCAGGAAAATCTGTTCCACCATCTTTCTGCCAAGCAATCTGTGGGACGGGATGCCCAACTGCAGCACATTCCAAACGTGCCATTGCCCCAGCACGAATGGTTAAATCCATGGGGATCTTTGTAAATGAAGGCAGCACTAAAGGAAAGTTAGTGATACCAAAATGAATAAATGAAACATATTTTTCCTATATTGCACAGCATTTTCTTAACACCCTCCTTGGGCCTAAAAATGCCAGAGAAGCACACAACCTAAATTTATGAGTAGCCAGCAAAGAAAAAGGGAGGGAGCTGTGGAGTATGTGAGACGGCCTAGACCAAAACCTCATTTCTGCTAACAGCCTCCTACATGACCTTTCCATAGTACCTTGAAACAAGAGTATACTATTTACCTCCTGTGAAGAAAAGATTAATGTTTTTCCATCTTATTACATAGATTTTGTCAGAATTACTTCAAATTGCGTCTGTTGTTTTTTGCTATACTATGGTTCAGCACAATGGGGCCAGATGTAAAACTGAATGGTGATCTTGGAAGTAGATATATTTTAAGAAATAATATCAGCTTATTAGGGGATCTTCTAAAAGAAAAGATTATGAGAATGGAAATAACTATGTTTACATATCTTGATTAAAATCATTCTACTTTAAGTCCACAAGCAAAAAGTAACATACTTACTGTTTACTGTAAGTTTGGCTTTGACAGAGTAGGATGAACCAAAATGATTTGAAATAACACACTGGTATTTCCCTTCATTACTGAATTCAACATTGCGCAGCCGAAGGATGGTAGTGTACTCCATCACTTCACCGCCCTGTGCCCGGAGGTGTGCATAATTCTCCATTTCAGCATCCTGCAGTAATTCATTGTCTTTCTTCCATGCAAAAGTCATTGGGGAATCACTGCTGCTGGCTGCCGAACATACAAAACTCAAATTGGAGCCTTTGATTGCTGACTGGGTTTCTGGCTGGACAGTGATCTGTGGTTTAGGAAAATCATCTGCACAGAAGGGAGAAAAAGTAACACAGAGGAAGAGAAGAGGGAAAAAAACCAAACAAGTATGTGAGGCCTGAGGACTCTTTTTAGAAAAAGTCTGTAAGCCTTGTTTTATAGGTTTGAAAGAAGAGTCAGATAAGTATTTATAAAATGGATACACAATACTTTTGTTTTAAATTTCGTTAGCCTTAGGGCATTTAAAGATGCCGTATTTATGAGTTTAGTGTGCCAAGTCATCTCTTATTGAAGAGAAAGCACATTTAAAGCAGATTGTATGTACGGTTTGTTCAACAGCAGCACTAAAGAGGAAAGAACTACCCCCTGACATCCGTAAGAACTATTCTGAATGTCAGTCATGAAGCCTACCCTTCATCTTTACAACACCTCAGGCTGCTGTGAGTTTTTCTTTATTGAAAGCATAGTTCTTCTGCCATCAGAAACTGCAAGTTAAAGTGACCGGTGTTCCCCATACCCACAAAAACCAATCACGTACAAAAGTCACTGTTCCAGTGATTTGTGGCTGTTTGGTCCACCTTACGAACACAGCAGCGCTGAAGGTCCCTTAAGCAGGGCAGCAGACAAGACTTTCAAGAGGTTAGTTTCTGGAGGTCCCTTTACTATTGGAAAGTTACCTTCGAAGTGCCATATTGTGAGTTTACAGAATTAGTTGCCTTCTGAACTATTTATTCTGTCAATTGTGTGTACACTGCAGGTACAAAAGGAGTGGGTAATTAAATGCTTGGTCTCCCAGAAGCAAAAGCCTTAGTGTATTCCCAACTTTCAAGATGTCTCCTACCTCCTGACAAAGACACAGGCCCAAACTTCACAGCGACTTCAGGAAAAGCTGCGGGCCCCAAACACTCCTTACTGCAGATCCTGCCTGCACTGCAGAGAGCCAGGTTTTACCTAGCCCCTTTGCCTGCTCACATCTCATTTGTTTGGGAACAACATACCGGGGTCAACGCGTTACTTCCTTGAGGAACCTCCACGCTGCGTGTTACAAAAGAAAATGAGATGTGCAGATAGCCTGAACTTGAGCTGCCTGCAGAACACTTCCAAGTCTGGAGCTGCACTCCAGCGACAGGGCAACGTGGATCCACTGACCTGGGACCCTCAGCGTGCGCCTTTAACAATCTCCCAGGCCGTGTGGTTTTCATGCTTCATGCCCATGCCTTAAGTCCTCCATGACAAACTATACCGTTTGCAAATTGAGTTGATACTTTCACTGACCTCACACAGGGATAACTAAGTAAAGCACTGTAAATACTTAAACTAGCCTTGCGAAAGGACAGGAGAACGTATTTCATTCTGTTTTAGCTGTACCATCAATGGAATAATAAAATATTTTTAAATCTTAATTATTTGGCAGGAAGAGGGGATGAAAAGGTCACTCAAATAAGCAGATACTGCAGAATACAGAAGAACACTCTAGGATAAGACTGGCAATGTGTTTTGTCAGAATGGAGTACTTTGAGAGTGTATTTGAATACATGCTTCACAGAAACATGCACACACATATATACACACAAATACGTAAACACCTATACACACAGATGCATACACTCTGAGAAATATATTTCTCATTTTATAGAAGCCCTTTGACTACTATACGTAGAAGCCACTTGACTACTATGTAACAGAAAACAAGCTATTCATGACCTAAATGGTACTCTTTTAGCATCACTGTTAACTTCAAGTAATAAATACAGGTGAAAAAAGCATCTATTCTATTTTTCTTTCACAGTTATCTTTAGTACAGAAATGTCTCATGATTTGTTTCAGCTTGAAAGACATGATCTTAGGAAGCACAGATTACACAGACTATTTCTTTTTATTTTTTTTTTTTAGTTTCACAGTTATGGAACCCTTGCCTAACACGTGCTTTCTTTTAACAAATTTAGGATGACTCCCTCCTAGCTCCTAGCTGCTTTCAAAAATGTAACTTGGCATGATGTGGAGGATTTATACACTTATGTAAATTATACATAATAGATTATTTATTTTTATTTCAGACAGGACTTAGCACTCTCCTCTTGAAAATACTATAAAAGCAAAACTGGCCATTGTAAACTTATAAGGCAAGGTATGTACACCCCAACGTCTAGTGATGGCACACTTTAAAGATTTAATGAACAGTGAAACACTCGTTGACTGTATGAAGAGATTCTAGTTACTTCTACATGACAATTATTTTACGTGTTAAATGTAACAACTTACTCTTAGTACATCTCTTTTTGCTAATATATCTTAAAGGGTTTGAAATTAATTAATTAAAAATGGCATACAGCAGCTAAAAGAAAGATCACGATCCCCCATGGTTTTAACAAATAAGAGATACATCTTTAAATCCCCCAATTTAATTTCTTGCCAGAATGAGCTTCTCATAAACAAGGATGTATACTTCACATATACTCCATTAGCTATTGAGTAATCTGTGATTTCCTGCACTATGTGAACTTCTCCTTTTCAGCAGTAGCTAGATTATGCACCATCTACTCATTTAACATTAATATAGTAAACATTTGACTGCTAATAGGAAAGGAGAAAACAACATTTTTGTACACTTTTATATTCTGTGCCTGCTTACCCACTGAAAAAAGGGCATGAAATCTCATGAAATGAGTGGCAACAGTAAAAATTAAGCAGTCATATTTGCTATGAGAGGAAAGTTATTGAGAAGACAAATATGGTTACTGTTTTGTCCCCAAAGCATATAAAGTTTGAATTTTCTTTTGTAAGAAAAATAAAATGTATACAACAAAAATATATGAAATCTAGGTAGCTTTTAATTTCCTGATATTTTCAAAGTTCACATTTAATGTATCAGAGTACTTGCACATCTTTACTCTGAATGCTTAGCTTCACTTTGCTTTAAATAGCAAACATAACATAGGTGATAATCAGTGTTACTAAACACACATAGAGAAATTTCATTTTTAAGGCAGATGCTATCACCTCAAATTTTCAAGTCAAAGTAAAAATATTTTACTAGTATTTACTATCTAGCATATTGAAATACAAAATATCAGTAGCATAACTGTAGTAACTGGATGTTTCAAAATACAGTTTACATACAGGCAACAGTTTACATGGTCCAAATAATTTTTAAAGTAGACAACAAGCACACATAAAAAGGGTCAGAGCTGAGGCCAGTATGGCTATCTTACCTTCACGTTTTCTCAGCTCTGGAATAACCTCAAGACTGATAAAGCATGAAAATAATTTACAAATAATCAAAACAAAAAATTGCATCCTCAGTTTGCCAAAATATGTCTCACTTAAAAGTGACAGTTATCTAAACAATATCCATCTTTTGAACCTAGAGGCATATACATTTACCATCACAAACTATTGAGCTTTCCCTTGCACACTGTGCTATGTACTATGTAAGCAAGCTGTACGTGAAATAAAACTCAGAAAACCACCACTCCCCATCCTGTACAAAGCCACAAGCTTTGAGCATCTACATCACAGTTGGGAACAGAGAAGGAAATGGTAACAAATATTAAATCCTCTCCATTTTGTTAGAGAAATCAAAACATAGCAAAGAAACCACAACAAAAATCAATGCATTCAGCAAAATTTGTTCTATGGAATGAGGAATAGAGGCTATACTCACCACAGACAAACCCATCCAGGCTGACAGCAAAAATACTTCTCCCTTTTAGCAGCTGAGGATGGGCACAACTGGCATTTACAAAGCTCTGAAAGTTGTTCTCTGACATCCACTGTGGTAGCCATTTTAACTGGCAGTCACACAAGAGACTCGATGTGTTTAAATGCCTAAGAAAAAGCAATTACATTCAAAGCCGGTCTGCTTGTTTTTTTCTGTTTGTAACACAGATCTATATGACCACATCAGTAACAAAACTAAATTTTTATGCTAAATCCATATATCACAAAAGAAAGACAGCAATATTATTTAGCTCAGATGTGGTGACACCATTGTCATGGCTCCTACATTCTACAAAGCAGACATGTTATCCTGAACTCCCAGCTTCTACTACGAATATGAGTACGGGCAGTCAGGCATGTTTGTAGTGTCTTGGGTACAAAACTACAGTCAGCAGTAGGACACAGAGAATGGGCACGTAGGAGAACAGTCCAGAAGGGAGGCAATCTGGAAGCTAACATCAAAAAATTCTGAGACAATTTCATTCCCTCATTTCCATTTCAGTCAGAATTTATCTTGGGGAAGATATTTAAAAAGGGGAGCTGGGAGATGAAGAATAGTCAAGTGTTGAAATAAATGCAGAAATGGTTAGCAGCTTATGTAACCTATGCGAATAGCTACATTCACAGAAAGGGAAAAAATGAGGAAGCAAAGCAATATTCTGTGAAGCATCTAGAATCAGGAGTTGAAGCAGGAAGAGTTCTCAGTTTTGGATGAAAACTCAGAATCACCCTTTAAAAAGGTATTAAAAAACAGAGTCAGTAATAAAATTCCTCTCTTCAAATCTTACCTGTTCTTGGAGGAAAAGCAAAAATAATTTATGGATCCAGGGAGAGAAATGGCTTCAAAGATAAATGAAGACATACGAATTCTTGATTTTTTTCTTGAAGAAAAGGAAGAGTGTCTCTGTGCTCTTTTTTCACACTAACACTGCATGGATAAAACCTAGGGATGCCAGCTCATCAGTTCACACTGAGATGAAACAGGTCATCTCTCACTGAAGTTCTAGGGGCATTCTTGCTATTCTTAGGAGGCAGAGAAAACACAGCATTTTTTGCTACCCTGATACAGTGGGTATCCGTCATATTATTTTCAGATTTACTCTCTAGGGGCTGCAGAATAAAATTACTAGATGGGAATTTATACTAAACAATCTTACTTCTGGGAAAGTACTTTCTACCATCTGTCTACATCTTCCTCAGATATAACGGATGTCTACCAGGTGTTTCAAGAAAAGCACAGAAAAATACCCCCAACAAATCTTGAATAGTTATTTCACTGAAGTGTTCAGAGTCTGGTATCTTGTAGCATTTTACACCTCCTGGAACAGCATTAGCCAGTCATTCCATCACATTTGATCACTCTTCATAGGATCTGTATCAATCCCTAATTGTCAGCACTATGCTCCCAACACTTCTCTTGTGCCAAAACTAGCAATTGCCCTGCAGATGGCTGAGTCAGTTCAGCAAACTGATCAAGCAACACAGCCAGATCCAACTCAAGGAAAAGGAAAGGCAGAAAACTCCTGGCTATGCGTAGAAGCATGGCTGCTGCTTTCTAAAGCAGCTGCAGCTACACCGGGATATGGGTAACACCAAACCAAACTTTGAATGAACCAAATATTGTCCTGATGCAAGAAAGAAATATTTTACAGCGTGAACAATCGTACACTGGAACAACCTCCCCAGGGATGTGGTGGAGTCTCCAACACTGGAGGTTTTCAAGACGCAACTGGAGTGGGTGCTAGATAATCTTGCCTAGGCTCCCTTTTCCACAAAAGGTTGGACCAGACGACCTTTTGAGGTCCCTTCCAACCTGAGCTGTCCTATGAAATACACAAGGTTCCTCATTACTTTCTCTATGGCACCCAACATGGAGTAATACCATAAGATGAAGTAGAGCCAGCTGCTAGGGTGATACTTGATAGAAGTCTGGAGAACACAAATGAAAAGCTCCAGACAAGCTTCTGGCAATTTCTACTCATAATGAGAGCAGCATCTTTTTGTTATTCTTTAGTCTGTTGACAGATTATCCACAGAGCAGCTCAGGACAACAGGTCTGACTAGAGAAGGCTTATATGAATAGAGGAGACATAAGATATATGCTCAAGGAAGAATTAGCTGTGCTCAAATCACAGGGAACAGTGACAGCATTTTTCTGCATTGATCAACAGAAGCAGCAGGTAAGAGGACATAAAACCTCCCAAAACTCACTAGAAGAATACACTCTGAGTGACCGCTTCATGACTTCTCTGAAGATCTGCCCCTTTGCTGCTACAGGATAGAAGGACCCAATTACAAGCACTGACAACCAGGTCTTTACAAAAGAATTACAGCACTGCATTTCACTGGTCCAGTAAGCTTTAGCTCAGTGATAGCACTGCTGATCTTATAGCACATTACATCAAAGTCTCCCTTATCTAATACCTATTAGAGATCAGCCAATTTAAAATAAGGACTCTAGACACCAAATGTACCAGAAAATGAATGCCTCCTATCCTACACTATCTCACTTAAATACAGTCATCACATAAAAAACAAAAAAATCAAAACACTGACATACCCTTTTTACATGACTTCAGAGAGATTACAGTGGGAGTTTATCACTGCATCAGCCAACATCTTACAAGGCTTTTATTTATATACTTATATGGATTTATATATTTAATAGAGGTGATGTCTTTAGATAGAAACTTACAATTCTTTGAGTTTCTTCATTTGTGAAAATGCATTTCCTTGAACTGACATAATTGCATTGTTACTTAGATCTCTAGGAAAAAAAAAAAAGAAAAACAACATTAGAGGCAGAAAGAGTAATTTATTAAACTGAATGTATTTAAGACTCAAGGAATAGTTTGCTACCCTAGTGATATACAAAGGATCCCCTAGCTCAAAAACTGAAGAGACAGGATTAAGGAGTTCTATAGCATGCCTAATACATAACACTTCCCGCATTAATTCCAAAATTCATATTCAGCATAACTCCAAAATAAAAGAACCTTCTCAATATCACAGTAACAACCAGGGTAAGTTTATTTCATTCAAAGTCATAAGTAAAGATTGCTAGTCCTACTTTTATTTCAATTAGTATCAAAATTCACTTTTTCCAATGTGGGGTTAAACGTGAATTTCTACTACTTACAAGTGTTCAAGTGCATCCAAACCAGAAAATGCTTTCTTTGTAATGGATCGAATCCTGTTTCCTTGGAGTATCCTGAAAAATGTAAGTACATGATGCAAAAAAGATGCAGTAACATGGAAGCATTTTTTGAGCTGAACAATTGCATTTCTGGCATTTATTTCTAAATTGTGACCAATATTCACAATTCAACCTTCCCCAATACAGCAAAATGTCTCACCTCTAAAAGACACTCATTTGTTCCCCTTGAGTAAACATCTAGATTTTATAATGATTTCAGAAGACATTTAATGTGTACAGTTCAGTGATATGGATTATTCTAAATGTATACACATAAGTATATTTTTATTTCATAGATATGCATTTGAAAATTTCAATGCGATGAAGCCACTTCCATTGGATGCTGCATTACTTTATCAAAGACTATCCCTGTCACTATGCCTTTGTCATATAATGCACTTATTACTTCCTATTATGTGAAAACCTCATTCTTTTGAGAAATGTTTCCATATATAGCAGTAATATCTAAAATATTTTAGATTAGTTTGACTTGAAAAAATCTGGAATTTCTTTTATAGAAAAGGAATGTTTTATAGAGAACAAAATGGTAAGAGAGGAAAAAAAAAAATCATCTCAGCCATGGAAAATAAAACATCATTAAGTGTTGGGCTTGTCCCTTGAAACACACACAACCTAAGATTTTTTTTTTTTTTTAGGGAATGAGGAAATACAAATATTGTAGCAATACTCACAGCTTCCTAAGTTTATCTAGGCCAGAGAAGGCACCATTCATATCTTCAATAGTCCATGATATTTCATTGTTTTTCAGATCCCTGTTTAAGGGGGGAGACAAAATCAAACCACAAGAGCTATTAAAACGAACAAGGTACATACTTCTTCAAGAGCATGTATTACTTAAAATAATTTCTAAGATAGCTTTCTGGTAGGTTTGGTTTTGTTTGTTTGGGGGTTTTGTTTGTTTGTTTGTTTCTTTCTTTTTAAGAGCAACTTTTCCTTATTAGCTATTTCATTTCAATTTTTAGTGAGAGACTTTGAAGACTATTAGTACTTTTTCCACTGATAATTAAGAAGATCACAAACCCAACAATTTTAAGAATCATTAGAAAACAAACCCATATCCCCCTACAAGGGTATTCAGATACAGGACTATCATAAGAGAAGGAGCATCACAGGAAGGGAAGGGATCAACTGTTGCCCCTTCGAAACAAAATACACTCATGCCTTTTTAAGTTCCTAATATTAACACACAGAGATTTATTAACAAGTGAATAATTTTTACATCATACACCATCCGCAACACTAGCTTAATTATCTGTGAAGCATAAACAGATTAGAGATTTGTGAAAAAACAGTGTGTCAGCAAAGAATCAAAAGGGTAGGGCTAGAGGAGAAAAAAAAAAATCTCGTATGAAAAGTCTAACACTTAATTCCTAGACACCTTGCAAGTCTGACTTCCTCTCTTTATGATCTATATCTCTCTGTATACTTAAAAAACATAACATACACCCCTCTGAATTGCACCTTTGCTACATGCACAAAGTGTGAGTATGTGAGCAAACCCCTGACAGCAAAGTGTTAGCACCCTTTCCAAAGCCTAGAGGGAAAGGCAACCATTTCATTCATCTGGCTAACAGATGGGTCAATGGTACACAACTGGAAGATTTTAATGAAGTGGAATATAAATTAGTTTACTTCTTTCTTCCCCTTCCCTTAAGAAATGCTATTTCAAAAAATGCTCAAATGCTTTAAGCACTTGCCCAGTCACGACAAGCATCAGCATCCATAGTAATAACAGTTTTGAGTTTTGTCTTCTTATTTCCACCATGAGGGAAAACGTTGATTCAGTTAAGACAAAACTATGATCCAGATCCCTAAAGCTGTGGGTAGCAGTGCTGCCTGCTGCCTTTGAATGGAGACATGCCTTTCCCATAACAATGCTACTTAAAGCTCGTATCATAATTATCACCATCCATTGTGCAAAGCCTTAACGAAAGAGGAAGTCCTCCCTCTCCCAACTATTCTGAAAAAAAAATCCTACTGTAAGAAAAACACAAGCTGATCTGGGAAAGTTAACAAAAGGTTCTTGTATATTTCATAAGGGAAAAAAAAAGTAACTATAAACACAGAGGGTTTTTCTTAAGGTTTTTGACCTTAAAAATTGAGTTTGTCAACTTACAGAGTCTGTAGACTGGAAAGTCCCCGGAAGGCACAATCAGCAATGTAATTTACTTTGTTGTTTCCAATGTACAGTCCAACCAGTACGCTTAAACCAACGAAGCTTGAATCATCTAACCTTGCTAAGTGATTAAACGTCAAATCTCTGCAAATTCAAGGAAAAAATGTATTCTATTGTTTATCCTGCACTGCTTATTACTAAATTCAATCCAGGTGAATTTTCAGGTGGGGAGAAAGTTCCTCCCCCCCTTACAACTATCACAAAACCTACTACACCATTTTTGACCACACAGCTTGCGTACCGTTTCCAACAATTCACAAATTACTGCAAAATGAATTTCTTTCATTTGAAAATGAGTGTTACAGCTTTAGTACAACTGCCACAGCGAAATGAAGCAGTCACGGTTGGCTTCAACTTCTTTCAACAAAATATAACTGTCTTACATACAAAAAAGTTATTGTCACCTTGGAAACTTTGTTATGAAAAATTCACAGATCAGTGGTAAGAAGCTCATGCTTTGGCATGTACCTGGCTTTCAAAACTGGAATAGAATAAAAGCTACTCACAGCTCACTGAGTTTTTGGCAAAATTCCCAGGCATCAGGACTGATCCTGTTGATGGCATTCTGGCTGAGATGGAGTTGCTGCAGCATCAGCAAGCCATAAAGCCAGCCTTTCGTTACCTCTGTTAAGTTGTTATGGTCCAGCTGCCTACAAACACACACAAACACATACAAACAGATAAAAGACATAAGGTTCAGAAACTCAACGGCGTGCATGCTTTGCCACAGGTCCACATCTGACTTCATGATACTGGCTAGATAGCTGCAGCCTCTATTTGCATTTAGAGTTGTATGCATGCATTCAGAATGTGCTGTCCTACACACTCACCAATGACTGCTTGCTGCTTTTCAAACCACACTAGAACAATTTAATTCAAAAACATCTTTAAATTTTATCACGCAATTCTATTGATTTTGTGCAATTCTACTTAATATGTTATCAGCAAAAAGATGATACTTACAAGACTTCCATGTTGGTCAATCCCCAGAAAGCGCCATCCATGAGCCTAGTAACGCCATTTCTCTGCAGTTTTAATGATTTCAAAGCTGGAAGTCCTTGGAAAGTAAGTCCATCTATTTTTTTAATTTTGTTGCGATTCAGCTCCCTGCGTCAATAAAATTTACAGTTACAGCAGAGTAAGTTCACCTGCATGCCAACAACCTTTCTTCCCTCTCTGGAAACAAACCTTATTTAAATGCTTTTCTTGCACATAAAACAACAGAGACAAGATGTAATAAAAATCAAACATTTTACTGTAATACACTATGTTTAACCATGCTAACACTATTCTGCTGTTCTGACACTGAGGACAAGTACTTGGTAGTTCCTTGATTTTCAGATTTAAAGAAACCCTGTAGACCTAGAATGTCATGGTTAAACCTGTTCACAAATTCAAAAGTGAAAGCAAGTTCCTGATGTTTATCCAGCAGTAGAGCCATAAGGGTTAGCTTGTAATTGCAATTAATAATCAGTCAGAAAGAAAAAGTTAAAATTTTTAGTTGTGATAACTAGGCAAAATTAAATACCCTGGGTGATCCCTCCCTTTCTTAATCTGGAGCCAAGCATTCATCACACATTCCTCCCTCATTCTCCACAACTAGTTACAAATAGTTTCTTCCCTCTTTCTCAAGCCGTTTTGGCACTCACCCTTCTGCCACTACACACACCCCTTAGGTCAGAAGCTGGGACCTATGTGTATCCTGGAAGGGAGTTATAAGGCATAATTAGCTGGAGAGCAAGCTGCAGTGACAGTAGTACTCAATATTTTCTACCTTCCTGCTCTCCACACCACTTTCTTGGCTTTCGTCCTTTTTAACTCCAAACCCTGCACCAACCCCAAGCCGCTTTCTGACTTCGAGCTACGTGAAAAGGGAAGTCTAACCTCACACAGGCACAAAGAACAATGTTAACTGTTTTTATAACAGTGGATTTTAAACTAGCCATCATTTGCAAAATAAGCAGTTTATTTTTTAGCAACAACTGATCTATAGTATAAAAAGACAGGATTAGACAATACTCAGAAAAGGCCCTCATACAAGTAATCATCTGCCCCTTCAAGGAGGTCTTAGATCTATCAGTCTGTATCCTACCTAACCAAGAAGAATCCTCTCCTTCCAAAACTTACTTCCCCATGGGATGTAAGGGCCTAAATAATTCTCTCTCCATAATTATATCACAATTATTTTTCAGAGTCTCAGTCTTGTAAGAATTCAGCTTTGCTCTCTGGCAGCCCGATACTTGAACCCTCCCTGATAACAGACACCCAACAGAGAACCTTACTCCTCCTCCTGTGTTTAAATGTGCATAAGCAGTAAAGAACAGTCAGGAAGAACAGCCTTCAGTTCTTACCCACTCCTCCTCCAAATACTTCTTTTGTGTGATAACACAAGTTTTTGGCCTTTATTGCAGATTAGCTACCTAACATAACTAGGTCAGCCTATTGATTAAATTGTGAACGAGCAGAACTTTTTTAGGCAAGAATATCACCAACTTCCAAAACTTCAGTTGAATCTGAAGATCAGAAAGTCTACTAAGATCATTATCAAATACTGAGCTTTGCAGGATTGTTCTCACACTCTTCTACTGAGGCTTGAGTCAAACTCTTCCTGCATTTGTATACAGAACAGACACAGTCACTGTTTCCAGATGTGTCGAGCATCCTAACACTTCACTGTTCTTATGACCTTTTACTTTCAAGGTTAACCTAAGAGAGTTCATCACTTTTAACTCCTGACTACCTAATATGGAAAATAATCATTCAGGATTTGACATAGTGCAGTCCCAGCCCACTCTCTTGTCAAGTTCCTGCACTCTAGATTCCCCCGCCAAAAAAAAGTATTTCCCCAGCCTCTTCCATATTAAATAACTTTATCTATTATTTATTCGGTAAAACATTTATAGACAGCATTGTGTCAGTGAAGCTGATGGAGGTCTATTTACTCAAGCATATTGCTTACTGTCATACCTTCTGAAAGCAAATTAATTCCCTTCATTTCACCGTGAAAGCACAAAATAAATAAGAGACTGCTGTAGTGAACTATATAAGTTTACTTCACTTAGTATTTTTCCAATACTTTCTTAAAGGAATACTGCTATTACCCCTTCTCCAGCGTTTTTGTGGTTGGTTTTTTTTTTCCTTTTAATAGGCAAACACAATTTTAAACACAAAGACTATTCACATCTCACCAATATATAAGACTAGTTTTGTTCAGTACAAAGCTGCAGTTAGTAAGGGTTGTAGTAATATGTTTTCTGTGTCTGTCTCATTCTGCCTCTGGTTAAATTAAAGGCTAAAGTTCAACCACTGCCAGTGCTTTGGAAAACCTGAAAACAATTAGTCAATTGTAGGTTGCACTTACAGGTGCTGCAGATGGGAGAGTTTAAACATCTTTTGAGGGATTGCTGAAATTTTGTTCCTGTTCAGTTTCAATACTTGAAGTGTGGTAGACAAATTGTCAAAAGTACCAGGCTCCATGGAGGTTATTCGGTTACTGTTAATGTACCTGTTGAAACAATGTCTAGAGGGTTAAATTTACAGTTATTTAATAAGTTCTTAATACCAAGTAGTGAAACACAAAGCTCTTGCGTTGCCTACTCCTTGATAAATGGAATTTCATTTATTGTATTAATTAGAGCTCTTGACAGCTCAGTCTACAGTCAAATAGTAGTTCATCGCCAACATTTTGCTCTACTCTGCAGGAGCGCATTATTGGCAGAAGGTAGCATGTTGCAACCCCATTACTTTATTCTCACTCAGTACAGCACTGGCATTGCAGTATTACTGAATAAGGATTAAAGTAGATTCAAAGAAGTCCACCAAACTCCATGTAGCTCAAGACTAGCCTAACCATGAGGAAGGTAAGTTCATTTTGTTCCATAATTAATTCTCTCAAGAGACACATCTACTTGTTTCATCTCAAAATAATGACCTTCACTTTTTATGAACTAAAACATCTCTTTGTAACAACTCATGTATTCAGGTTAGCAGCTTATGTTAAACTGAACAGGTGAAAGTAGGAATAAATATTTAATGCACGTCTAATTGAAAGAAGATTTAGTACCCTAACAAACAGCTGCCAATCTAAGTTTTCTAATAAGTTTTTTGAAAGTAACCTGTAAGAAAAAAAATGCATAATACTTTTACTTACAGATACTTGAGCTGTAACGATGGAAATGATGATATTTTTAGCTCTGATATGTTGTTGTTGCTCAAGTCCAAAGTTTCTAGACTCTGAAATGGCTTCAGATGTTCAGACAATATGTTGGCAATCTTGTTGCTGGTCCTGAAATTTAAGGACAGTAGTCAAAAGACTGTCATTTCCAGAGCAAACACTTGTTAACTACACATGACTCTGACGAAAGTTAGTTCTTAATTCCCCTACTTGAAAATAATATCTAGTTAAAGAAAATCAATAAAGAATGTTCTCTAGACATAACATTCATTTCTAGCCATCCCAAATCACAAATTGGAATGCTGTACATAAATGTGTTCATCAACATTTCTTAAAACATATTCCCAGCAAACAAGATGAAAAAAATTGCATTATAATCCAATTACTGCAATTCATGGCTTTTAAAACAAGATATAAAACTCTATGGTCATCTATTTCTGTACAGTAGAAATATCCTGTATTTACATTGAACAGTATGTCACAGTATTGTAATGAAATGAGATTAGAGTTGGTCTCTATTTTAACCAAATTAACATCACAGTAGCTAGACATAATGTTTCGTTTTCTTGAAAACTCCTACGGCATGAAAATCAAGCTGAATTTCCAGGAAAACAGAGCTAAATTAGAAAAGATGGATGACGGTATGCCCCCTCAGAAAGATATTCTACACCTTTGCAGTTAGACCTAGTATTTAATCCTAAAGTTTTTCTAGTGCGTTAGCAAAGAATAAAATTTCTGCTTATTACAGCTCATTACAGAGGTTCTGGACTTCATGTCTGGTCAAACTTCAGCTAAGCGTCACACCCAATTCCACAACAAAAACTCTGCAACTGTTTAAAGACATGGGTATCCTAGTCTACCAGAAGGAACACCCCTTCTTTCACTTCCAATGAAATGTACTTTTTCTAGCGATCATATTTCGTATTCATACCCAGCAACCTACCAGTTTTTCCATCCCAGTTGCATAATGTACAGAACCATACACGCACATCAGCAACATTAATAGGGTTATTTGTTTGGGCTAATGGTACATAGGGGAAAACAGATCGTGACCAATTAAATGAACGTAACCTGAAATGATCCTTGTTACCTTGGGAAGTTCAAGTCAGTTATGGCTGCGGTACATTCTGTAGGCTAGTATGATGAACGATCACAATTTAGGAGCTCTCCCCAGCTCCTAGAGATTGCAGGCAAAGGCGATTTCAGTAAAACTATCAACAAGAATGTTGATTCTGGAAGGTGTTTGCCTTTATTGGAAATACTTGCTTTGGATCAAATAGTAAGCCACACATTTAGGACAGCATGGACAATCCTCACATATTCAAGGCGTGTGGGGGGATTACTGCTCGAGACAAAGAAGTCCTGACTCAAAAACTGAACCAGAAGTTAAGATTAATGGGCCTTCTGACCACATGTGGGAATGGGTAAGTGATCTTGCAGCCCCTCCAACACTGCACTTGTATCATGTTTCATTCCTCAGGCTGTCTGGTAGAGGTACACTGCATTTTTTTAACTCTTAGCTGAAAGTATTTATAATAAATGGAAACAAATTACTTTAATAAAAAACAACAACAAACACCACCACCATGTGTCAGCTCCACTGGCCAAATAAGACTGTGAGGTAGATAACAGGTCATAGAGCCTTGCCTTTATGCATTAGTTTGTTTATAAGGTAATTACTAACAAGGTATTAAAACTGCCAATTACTTGAGTGACGAACAAAATTTTCCTTGCAGTAAAAGTGTGCTTCAGCAGAAGCCAGCAATTTCCTGAACTGCACGCCTCCTAAATTGCAGTGTGAAAGTGTTCAGTTATAGAGACGGCTTGCACAGTGCTGTCTTTGTGTCAGCATTGCTCCATAAAACAGAAATTCCTCACAACTGGCAGGATAATAGCCCCTGTATTACAAAGTTTAGTTGGACCTAATGGAACTGAATAAAACTCTTATAGAGCCTTCAGATTAGCGCTTAAACTAACTGGCAAATTACCTGACACAGACCAGGTTACAAAAAAAACAAACAAAAAAACCCCAGCTTGTTTGTTTCAGAGAACGTTTTTCTTTTTTGGAGGTGAAGAAGGTCATACTGTGGGGAGAAAGCAACTTCTTTTGTTCACTGAAACAGAGCTACACATCAAAGTCCTAGCCCATCTCACAATGAAAATCAAACCAGCCCTCACTGCACCTTCCTGCTTACTCATATTTGTGGAAGCTGCTCAAATGCAAAATACCTGAATGGTTCAGTCCAGTTTCCTCTTCAAAAAAAATTAAGTGCCATAATTCACACCTGGAAGGAGATTATCTAGCACGGAACATATTTTTAACTCTGTAGTTAAAATGAGAAACTTCAATTCTAATTCAATTTTTCTTCACAATCATCACTTAAGTAAAGCAAATAAAAACAATGTATTGGCTTCCTCATAACTGCCAAATCACCGTCAAAATTAGTCAGGAAGGACATTTTTGAAAATGAAAGCCTATCTAATTGTCAAGGCAGAACCAAACAGTGTCCTCTGTGTCAGCACAATGACATACAAGTTTGTTCTCGGGGGG